GTTTAGTGACAAGAATGTGACCCAAGACATGTTGAGGACAGTCAGTGCTAGGTCTGGTGAAACTTCTGGCAGAGAGATGTTCCTCCCAGCACAGCTGCCGTACTGAAAGCCAGCAGCACAGAGCTTCTGGACACCATCTTGTCACCTCCTGGGGACAGTTGCCCTAAGAATGTGACTCCTGGAAGAGGGAAGAGCCTTGTTGACACTTTACCTTCTGGGTTCCACTTGGGTTTGCTTTTAAACTTAAGCCAGTATGATTTGGGTTCTGTCATTTGCAGCAAATGACAGAAGGATATGGTGGCGAGGTAGCATCTGGAAGAGGCCTGAGTCCATTCCTGTCCACGCACCTCGTGCAAAATAACCACGAGCAGGTCGGTGATTACAGTTACGGGGGAAAAGAACTAGAAATTGATGAGTTGGCCACGTCTCAATACCTGCTAGGGTGAAAACAATGATTTCCTTTATATTTCAAGGGTTGAGTCACACTGGTCAGCCCTGGCTTGGCACAACAACGTCGTGTTCCTGCCAAAGGAGATGGTTAAGATGGGAGGCTGATTTATTTCAGTACATATGTGTCAACATCATCCTGGGAAAAAAGTAGAGTGTAGATACGCTTTGCAGGCATCTGTTATTACCAGAGAGACCTTTTTCTTGGCCTCAGAGACCGAAAGCCAGGATATGAGATATTATTTGAATCTTGAAGTTGATGGAGGGTGGGCTGTGGGAGAGGAGATACTTGCTTACACCGTGGACAAGGTAGGGGGACTGCTCAACGTCGAGCGGATCTGAGTTGTGAAAAGGACCCAGTCATATGAGAACCCCAGGACCCCAGGACCCAGCCCACTTAGAGGGTTCAGAGCACCACTGTACTGCTCTGCGTAGTGCACTTGGCATCTTTTCAGGTATGTATCAATCAATCCATCACTCATCCATTCCACAGGTATTTATCACAGCAAATGGTGTGGGCGCTAAGTCTACATAAGGAGGAGCACCCCAAGCAGAAGAGGAAGGGCCCACCGTCATGCAGAAAAGCCAAGTTGTGTGTCCTGGAGAGGAGGGAGTTAGGGAAGATTCTGGGTGCCAGCCCACAGTGAGGGAGGGAGGGACGCTGCCTGGAGAGAACAGGACACCTGTGAGCAGAACACCAGGAAGGACGGGCTCATGAAGAAACCAACAACAGCTGGGATAAATCACACTCGGCCCTACATTATATTCTACTGCAGCCTCACAGTAGCAGGGACTGATGGTCTAGAGACACTTAAGAAGGAGACTACTCCATTAGTTAGCTTTTTTCTGCCAACCAGGAGAAGACCATCACCAGTTAGTGTTAGCCACAGCCCAGCATGGCACAGCTTTGAGCCATTCAAGATTGGCTGCTGTGGTCAGAGGGAGCTGTTTCAGGGCCTCAATCAGGCAGTGACATGATCCGATTTGTGCTTTGGAAAGGTCACCACGGCTGTGGGGTAGAGGATGGATGAAGGGGAAGAGATGGGTGGTTGTTGGGAGGCTGTTGGAAAAGTGTGTGTGATGAGGACCAGAATTTGTGCAGAGGCAGCGGAGATGCAAATTAGTCAAGGGCAAGAGTTTGGGTCTGTTTCCTCCCTTTCAGCAAGAGCTAGCTAGGCTCAGCCACTGGTAGATTTTTAGAAATGTGCACGAAATTGAATTGTCTGGGCTAAGAAGCAAATGTGGTCTGGGTGAACCAAAACTGATCCCTCTTCCCAGCCTCTGCTAGGGAGAGTGTCACCAGCGGAAGACGGTGCGAGGAGTTTTTTGGGCTTGGAAAGCCTCAAGGTTTTGAGGAATTATTTGAGTAAACAGGATACAAAGCTCATGCTTCCTGAATCTGCCTGTTTGGTCAGATCTGTGCAAATGAGACATTTCTTTAGGCTTTTGCAGCTCGTCTTGATGAAAGAATGACCTTATGTCTTTCTATGTGCACTTGAAAGGCCAAAGTTAAAAGGTGTCCATTGGGGATTGTCTGAGCTCCTCTTCCACATGGCAGCATGCTGCAGGCACATCTGGATTCCCGAGCCACTGAACAAGAATCTCCACAATGTGCTGGGACAGTGTTGAGTTCCCACAGCCATGCACTCCTTTCTGGCGCCTTCCAGGAGGAGCAGAGCTTGAGTGAGCTTTCCAACAGCCAGATGCTGCTGTCATAAATTTTACTGCCCACTAGGGAGCTCACCATGGCCGAGGCCATGTGAGGGCCTCACTAGACCTATCTCATTTAAAAACCACCTTTGCCAAAGGCTCCACCGCCGCCTGTCTTTGACCTAGCCACTAGCCTGGTAGCACTTGAAAACCTTCCCTTGCCCTTGTCCTCTGGCTTTCCTGGACAAAGTCCATGTTTATGGTTCCCTTCCCATTGATTAGGGGTGACAACCAGACCGTGAAACATTTTGCCCCAAAACTGACTTCTTGGATCCATTGGCAAAATGTTAGAAAGTGGTTACAAGGCCCAAGAAACAGGACACCAAGGCTGTGTGAGCTTGGGGAGTATTACAGGATCTCATCCCAGGCCAAGAGTGACTCACAATGAAAGCTTTTAAAATCTAAAACCATCAACCTAGATTTCAATTCTAAGGAAACACATACTTGGCCATGAGAGATTTTTTTTTTTTTAATCAAGCTTAAGCCACTTGACAGGAAAATAAAACAGCCGAGGAACATTCGAATATAATGATTTATGTCCTCCAGCTCCCTTCCGGCATGGGTCAGGGTGCACATGGACATGACCGCAGACAGTGGGTACGCCTCCCAAGGGTGCCCTCTTTCCACCTAACATCTTCACACACACACACACACACACACACACACACACACACACACACACACGAGCCCACGCTGGACTTCGGTGGACTAGCAGAACTGCTCTTGGGGTGCCATCCCTCTCTCCAGAGTTCGTCACCATCTCCTTGCTTTGGTGCTCTTGGGTTGCTTAAGGTGGCTGTTCTGGGAACACAAAGATATTTCTGTCATTATTTATGTGTGCAAAACCTGTTCTTTTCTCTGAAAGAAACAGAAACCTGATTGATTTCTAAAATGTAAGAACAAGGAGATGATTCCACAATAAATATTTAAGACTGACCAGGAAGAGTGATCACCATTTGCTGAAACACAATACCAGGAATTACTTTGTTAAGCTTCCTGCATGGAGGGGATGAATGAACAACCATCCTAGATAATATTTGTTCAGCCCCTGACAGTGTACAAGGTGCTGTCACTTATGTCACTTGATTTTCACCATAACCCCAGAGAGGTACACGGGGTACACATTGAAAGGATTGATACATATTATATATATGTTCTTTCTCTCTTAACAGATAAAGGCTAAAAAGGCTGAGTCACTGGAGGGAGGTAAAACGGTTTGGGGATTAAATCTCGGGTCTAATTCATTTGTGCACATATTTAAAAGACATTTATCCAGAGCCAGATGAGATGGCAGTAGGTACAAAGATGACTAAACACAGCACTGCGTAGGAGGAAGACCACGTTCTAGCCAGAAGTAAACAAGGCCCTGCTCTGCAAGGGGGGTGAGCACTCCAGAGAATGAAGCAGAATGCGGACCATGGCTTTAATCTCATGATTTGATGTTTGTGCAGAAAACCAGCTCAGTAGTTATTTACCAAGACCGGTTCCCCGAAGAGGAGGGGACATGGCCACGTGACTAGGGTCACAGCTGGTGGGGAGGGGATCAGCAGGGTGTTAGGACTGAATTCTCCCCCTCGAGGTCCCTGAATATTTCCCCGGGTGCCCACCCCGGGGTGCCCATCCCGGGATGCCCACCCCAGAATGCCCGCCGGCTCCTTCTGCGCGTGAAGGCCACCCTCCGGCTTTGGTGGTCGTCTGAAGGAGCTGCGGGCTGGGCCGGGTGCGGGGGCCCATCCACGCCGGCCCTCCAGGTCTCGCCTCCACGCATCCAGCCCGGTTTGAGACTTTTTCTGTTCATGCACTGTGTCATTTGCCTCGAAGGTATTTTCACACTCATTTCTAGGCGCAAGCATAGCTCACGGAACAACGGCCCATAGAGGAGTTACACCTTGGGGCTCCCGCGCCTTTGGCACGGGCACTAGGGGGCCGGGGTGCGCGCCCCACTCTGCACGCCCGCGGGGAGCCCCGAGAAGCCCCCGAGTGCGCCCGAGGCCGGAGTCTGCGCTGCCGGGTCTCCGCCTGTCGTCCCTCGGGTTGGGGGTCCGTGGGGTCCCCGCCCAGTCGCCCTGGCCCGGCCGAGGGCTCTCCGGAGGGGACCGACGGGCGGTCAGGGCCCAGCTCGCGGGGCGCGGGCACCACGCAGGGTTTATCTGGGGAGTGGGCGTCAGTGTCCCGGGAAGTGTCCCACTTGAGATCCGCGACCCTGCAGTGCCCCCTACAGAGAGCGGCGGAGGGGTGGGGACCCCCGCGGCCCTCGGGGCCCAGTGCGCGCTGCATTTTTTTTTTTTTTTTTTTTTTTTTTTTTGCCTTTTCCCCTTTGCTTTCCTGCTGCTTTCCCCGACGTTTGTTTTTTGGTTCATCTTTTTTTTTTTTTTTTTAGTTAAAAAAATAAAAAGCGGGCAGCCGCCTGCAGTGGAGCGTGCTCGGCCTGCAGAGGCGCTCGCAGCCCGCCCGCCGTCCGCCCGCCGCCCGCCCCCGCGTCGCGTCACCGCCGCCGCCACCACCACCGAGCGCGGCTCTGCAGGCGCACAACCTGCCTTGCTTCACAACTTGCACTCTACTTTCTGGTGCGAGGCCCCTGAAAGCACGTTTTTCAGGCTAAGGGCCACACTCCAGACTTGCAACCTCGCCCAAGCGCTTGCTCCAGCGCCCAAATCCACTTAGAGAAAGGGAAGAGGGGAGCCCCAAGAACAACCCCAGGACGGGGCGGGGCACTCCCGCTCCTGGGGCAAAGGGGCAGGAGCTCCCACACCCGGAACGTTGGGAGCAAGCCCTAAGCACGTCGCAGGGGGGCACCCGCGAGGGACGGACAGGAAGAGGGCTAGGGGGAACGCCAGAACCCAGGACCACAGTACGGAAACGGCCCGGGGCTGGGCTGCCATCAGATCCGGGCATGGAGGGAGCCGGAGAAGAGGAGTGAGGAGGCCGGGGAGGCAGGCCCTGTTGACCTCCTTGAGGCTGGCAGTCTGCTGGCAGTGAAGGACCAGGCCACCAAGGAAAGAAAGTCTCGAGCTGAGACTTAGCAAGTCCAGACTCGTTTCGCTACAGAGGGAGCTGCAGCCTCTAGTCTGTTCAGGGCCCGGCCCGGTTCAGGGTTTTCGACCAGAAACTAGATCAGTTCCCTGTTGGGAATAGTGAATGAGTCAGATCCCAGAACCAGGACAGGGCTTAGAAGCTCAAAAGCCACGTTAGGGGTAGAAGCAAAGACCTTTAGGGCAGCTCATGGACTAAGACGGGCAGGGGGCTTCAGACCCTCCCATATCGGAGTGGGATTGGCGAGTTAGACGCTTGTAGATCGAAAGTTGGATTGGGGAGGGGTCTCTGGGACGTTAGTTTGCCAAGCAAGGATTGGGGGGATTCAAGTGCTTAGAGATCGAATTCAGGGCCTGGGTAGGGGGAGTCAGACAATTGGAAAGCCTAGGTGGTTATTTGGGGAGGGGTCTTTGCGTTTGGTGGAGTGCAAAGCTGCGTCTCTTGGCTTGAGGCCTGGGATCTTGTCAAGAGAGGCATCTGTGAAAGGGTGGGCCAGCTGGGCCAGACCAAGAGAAAGAAAGTGAATAAATCGGACTACCCGTGGGTGGGGGGACCCTGAGGGGGTCACAAAGGGTGAGACATGGCCACCAGGCGTTTAACCGACGCTTTCTTGTTGTTGCGGAATAATTCCATCCAAAACCGGCAGCTGTTAGCCGAGCAAGTGAGTAGTCACATCACCTCCAGCCCTCTGCATTCACGTAGCATTGCTGCGGTGAGTCTCCTGGCGGCCTCTCCGACACACGCACCGTGTGCACTGCGGCTGTGCCTGTCTGTCTGTCTCTGTCTGTCTCTCTGTTTAAAAAAGACGATGAAAATCCTAAGACTAATGCGGAAATGCAAGGTTTTTGGGTTAGAGCCAAGAGCCGTCTAGGATCCTCGACGGGGAGAAAAAACATTAGGCCCGTTTCCACTTGTGTCTCGCTCGCTCTCACTTCCGCAGCCCTCCCCATCCGCCGGCGTCATTGCACGACCGGCCGCTTCCAATTTACATACGTTTTAACACCATGACTTGGAAGCGTCGAGCTTTTCTAATGCCTATTTGTTTTGTTTTGTTTTGAGCTCTCCCTCCCGCCCCGTAGTGAGCCTCACTTTGGCTCTGATTGCCAAGTTGCAGGATCTGTGAAGCAAATCCTTGCAAGTGAACGGCTCCCTCCCCCTCCAGCAAAGAGGACGGAGTTGTGGTGGTGTTTGTGTGTGTGTACCTGTGTGTTTTTCCACCCTGCGCCCCACTTCTTTTCTGAATGGGCTCACAGTCCTCTGTGTGGCCGTATTCTCTATGAGTAATGGCTTCGCTGTTTTTCCTGGGGGCTTATGTCTGCAACTGTAAGGTGCTAGGCTCTTCGTTTTCCATTTCCCAGACAGGAAATTAATCTTTCCCCTGCCTTCGAACTTTCTGGAAAAAAAAAAAATGATGTGTATGTGAAAATTAACCCTCCCAAATAGCTGTTTATGTATTTATTTATTATTTTTGTATTAACCAGACCCTCCACTTAGCCGGTAGAGTTTTTGTTAGTTGTTTTTTGTAAACAAGGTCCTGGAAAGATTACTGTTTGGGGTTTGTTTGCAGTGAGGGCTGCCTTCCCTTTCTGAGTCTCAGTTTACTGGTGGGTTAAATAAGAGGGCAAGACCGGGTGGTCTGAACAAGATGGTGATTATTAGTTCTGTCACATCCTTAACTGAGCAGTGAAGTTAGGAGGCTCTTGCAAGGGGGCTGCCTGCTGTAGACAGGGTGGATTTCAATGGAAACAGCACTGAGCATGAGGAAATTGTCATCCCAAAACCTAATCCTTGGGGATTATGCTGGAAAATATACAGTTTTTGAAATCCCATACTAATTCACCACTTAGGAAATGTATTGCTTTTTATTTTTTTCATTATCATGTATTGAAATGCTAAATAGAAAAATTATGTGATGGGTCATGATTATTGACATGTCTACTAAGATCATTTTTCCTTTTCATAAGTCACAGTGGGAAATATCTTTGACCATATACTCATAGAAAAGCGATTTTTTAAGCCGTGTGAGCAGCTTTAGGAATGAAAGCATGCAGCCTTTGGTCAAAGAGCATAGAAAGCAAGGACGCGTGTGTTTGCATTTTTATTTACATAAAAATTGGAAGGGGTTTTTTTGTTTGTTTTATATTTATAAACTGAAAGAAATGACACCATAGGGAAGTGAGTGTAAAGGTATCTATTAGGAGGGGAAATGGCAAATTCTAGTGCTGATTCAGAAGTACCCCGAAATAAGGCAAGAGCTAGAATGGAACTGAGTGAATAATATTTTTCAATAGAACGGAAACTGAATGAATAATATTTTCCAATAGATCTTTAGTTATGTTAAATAAAAAGAATCCCATGTTCATTAAACATGGTTTTATGCTACCTTGTGGGGAGAAAAATGTAAAACACACATTAATGCTTTTAGGGTCTCAATGTGAATTGATTGAAAACATGTTTATTTTAAAAATTTTAATCATATGAGGTTCAACACACCTTGAGGCTTTGGGTAACATGAGAAAAAAAATTTTTTAACTGCTATTCAGACAGTTTAAAAATCATGTGTTGTCCGACACGGGTAGCTTTTTAAAAGTACATCTCTAAGTCAAATTGCTTTTAAAAATGGTTTTCTAAGTTAGACAATTTTTTAAAAATTTATAAACTAAATAATAATTAGAAATGCATAAACTACACAGGAAAAATAGTATGTCTGGAAATGTACAGATGTATTTAGCTAACTCAGATAATTTCTTGCAAGTAAATTTTTACTAATTCAACTAAAATTCAACTAAAAATACATTTATAAATTAGAATGTTTAAAATGGTTTTATTTCATACCATTGAAAATATCACATGCTTTTATCAATATGAGCATTTAAGATCGTTCTCCTAGCATTAAAAGCAGTCGGTCATTTGAAATATCTGTGTAGTTTAGACCGTCTGAAAAATAGATTGTGCATTCTAACAAAAATAGTTTGCCTGAGTTAGAATTTTTTTAAAAAGCACACATTTATATATTTTAAATGTTTACATTAAAATACACACGACATGCCCTAAATCTCTGAAGTGTTTAAAAGCAAAGCATTACTTTTTTTATAAGTGATTTAACCGGAGCTGCTCCTGAACGTTCACACACCGAGAACCAAGTATGACAAGGTGGTCACATAAGGAGAGATTACAATTTTTTTCAGTTTTTCTCAAAGTTAATGAAGTATTACAAATATTTAGGATAAAAAGAAATGTCAAACATAATTTTTAAAAACTGTTGAGAAACTCATGTTTCTCATTGCATATTTAGCTCATACAAATTTCAAAAACTTCATTTCTGACTTGGTAAAACCACGTAGCAAATTAAAACTATATCTGTAAAATTTGAATATATTAGGTATTATTAAGAAATTATTATTTAGATTATAAATAAATTTGTTAATTTCATCAGTGATGACTACAGAAATGTTTAGTAGTGAAATGTCAAGATTGCTATTACTTCTGTTAAATGCTTAATGTCCCTCAAAAGTAGAGGAAGCAAATAAGGCTAAATGTTAATAATTGTTAAGTCTAGTGATGAATATGTGGGAAGGTATTTTGCCATTTTACATACATTTCTGTGTGTTTGCAAAATTGTAAATATAAACATAACAAACACATTTGACATAGTAAAGTACAACTATTAAAAAGAGACAATTTACAAATACATGTATTACCTGATAATTTAAAAAGGAAGTAACTAAACCTGGGCTTAACTTAATTTTTAAACATTATAAATTCCTAACCAGAAAACTGTAGAAGTTGATTTTGGAGTATTTGTTTTCTTATGAACAATTAAAAATAAATCACCTATGATAGTAGATTTTTTAAAAAATGTAGCTGTGAATTTCACATCCTTGAAAAGGATGCAGGAATTGATTACAGAGTGGGATGTATGTATATATCACACACCTCGCAATAATGCACACTTAAAGTTCATTAAAAATTTTACACTAATTTTTTTTTGAATACTAGTTTGAAGAAAAAGCTGGATCATTTTTGGTGATAGGGATTATTGCAGGTAACCTATATGTGCTTCCAAGTTTAGGCAGCATTCGGTCAAAACCCAATTTGTCACCAATAATAATTTACAGAAGAGGTGCAGCAGCAAAACAAACAGTCCCGGTCAGCGGGACCCAGGTCCCGTTTGTGAAAAGCCTCACATTCCCTCCATGTTCCCCCTATCCCACGCGGTGGTCCTCACTCTGTTCTGTCCTCTGCCAAGGACTGCGGCACAGGAAGCCTCTCCCTCCTGCCCCCTGCCCCTGCCACCTTATTCCTGCAATTTTTTTCCACCCTTAGAAATCGTGGCTCAGGCGCATGTTTAAGTTTCTCTCCTATGAATGGTGTTTAGTTTTTCCTGTGTATTTTTAAAAATTCAATACCTAGAACTAAACAAAATTCTATTTACTTGTTTTTTTCTTTTTTTCTTTTTTTTATCCTGTTCATATTAGTAAAATTAATTGTTAAAAACAGACCCGGTTTTGGTTTTAGTCTCTAAGAAAAATGCATTTTGGCAGTTCTCAAATTTTCAAACAATTCTGTTTTGGCCTCAGTTTTGGTGCCCGGCAGGTTTATGCCTCAGGGCAGCATGAAATAAAGGAAAATACATTAGACAGTGAGTCTGGGAATTGACGATGTGTCCCGATCGGCCGTGGACTTCATCTTTTTAGACATCTTTCGGCTGGTTTGTAAATTGAGTTTGAGTTAGGTGATTTTTAGTGGCCCTATCAATTTGATAATGTTTTTTCAGACTCTGTCTTAATACAGTCTTCCTTATGACCAAAGCACACGGCCTTAGCTTTAATTTTGAGGAGGAGAAAACCTTAGTCAACCACAGTACCGTGGCTGTCAGCCCAAGGTTACTGGCAAAAGTCCTAAGAGTAGCCCCAGTGCTGGGCAAGAGTAACTTTGACATCTATCACCAGCCAAGTAAGTGTCCCTGTTAAAGCAGTTTCTTGATCAAGTATTTACAGGCAGTTTGGCTTCAAGAACCTGAAATGGCTTTATGAAGTTAAATAATCAGCTTTTTTTTTTTAAGTGTAAAGTTTTACATGAGTGAATGGTAGAAGCTGACATGCTGTATGGATTTTTTTTTTTTTAAATCTGGAATGAGCCTCATGCAGGGGCTGGAGATGCTTTGTTAATGTTTACTGCCTAATCTATACCCTTTCCAAAATAATGCATAATCTATAAATAGAAGCTAGAATTAATTGGTCTTAGATTAGTTTGAGACTAGCACATTATTTTTAATAAAACCTGTGCTTTATGAGAAGAAAAAAAAGAAAAGAGAAAATTCCGGATTAACTGTGATGATAAGAAACCTGAGATCCTTCTTCACGCTTGACAACATCATTACTTAAGATTTATTGAGCACTTGCTGTATGCCTGGCATTTGAGTGCTTTCATGGAAGACCTCGTGTCATTCTCACAGGTGGGTGCCCGTGGTACAGTTAGAGAAACCGAGCTGTCGGGCAGTTAGAGACCCAGTCAGCACCATGCGCCTGGAGAGCAGGGCCTGGGGCTGGAGCACTGCCCCTGTGAACCCAGCACTTCAGCTTGCTCCTGTTTTCCAGGACTGGGGTTGTAGATCCTGGAAAATGGAAGAACTTAATATTTAAATGCATTTTATTTTTCTAGCAATAGAGTAGCATCTTTATCCCCATGTACAGCCTTCTGCAGTCAGTTTAAATTGCACATCAAAGATTTTCAGGTTTTAGGTCCGGGCCAAGTGTGCTGGAAAATCAGTTCTCTGTCTTTAGACTCCAAGTATGAAATCATTGTATATTTCTCTTTAGATCTATTTGCTTTTCTGCTTTTAAAGATTCCATTTGAGCAGTGAGACTTACTTGAGAATAAGGATACTTTGTTGGTTAAAAGTGAAGCAAACTTTTATTTTGGCAGTAACGGAAATAAAGTAAATACCACTATAGCATAGACCTGTATTTCCAACTCATTTTGCTCAACTTTTCCAGACTTCCTGAATAAACACAGATGGGTTTCCACTTATTTTTCAGTTTTAAGTAGAAAGTTCTTTAGACTATAAATTCCACATGCTACTTGGAGTTTTCAATATTTGCTTGATTTCTTGCCATTGGCAGGTCAAAAACCTAGATTTAAACATTCTAAAGATTTAGAAGGTGGTGATGTGTAGTAATGTGTTTTCATTCCCCTGTATTTTGGTCTTTTCTGATGGTAACTCTGAATATTTTAATTCACATCTTGACTAAATTTACTAGTAATTTGGGGGCAAGACGAGTTTTGAAAGCTTTCTGTTTTTGAGCAGCCAAATGGGGTCGGGGGGTTCTTTGGAAAGATGGCCTGAATTTAATTCCCGATACAGTATGGGAGCTGCCTGTCACAAGTAATTCTCCAAATTGTTAATAAAATTAGAGAGATGCAGGGTGGGGTGGAGAGAGGCCTGGGCACCTGGGACTGTCCCATGTTAACTGTTAACAAGCTTTGTGACTTCAGGGCACGCGTGGATGTATTTTGAAGCTTAGTTTTCCTGTGTGTAAGAAAAGAGTTGCTTCTAGCCCTCGACTCTCATGATTCCAATTGTCATCTGGTAACTGCAGAAATCAGAAGATCAGGATGCGTGTGCTTGGCTAACCGTCCAGCAGCACACGCTCAGGCATAGCAGAGGTTTGGACCATGGTTTGCGTGATGGTTTGTTGGAAGATTAAATGCCATGGCCCTCTATAGAATGGAAGAGGCTGTGGCTGCCCGAAGGGGCTTTGCCTTGGGTTTTTTCTTTTCTTTTCTTTTCTTTTCTTTTCTTTTCTTTTCTTTTCTCTTCTTTTCTTTTCTTTTTTTTTTTTTTTGATAAAAGATGTCCATGCTCTCTTTCTGGAAACATCAAGCTCTTAGAAAATACAAACATTTTTCCTGCGCACAGTAAAACATAATGAGATCAGCCATCGACGCTGTCTTGTCTGTCAGTCCCTCCCAGCAGTGCAGCCGTGGCAGTGCGTGTGCGTGCACAGGCCATTCTGCCTGGGCGGTGGAGGAGTGTGGAGGGTCCTCAGCCCTCTATAATCTCATCTAATTGAAGTAGTACACGGAGTGGTGTTTGATTAGATTTTATTGCTGTCATTGGATAATAGTATTTTGGCCCTGATAGACCAGCTTCCTTTGCACTAATTTTTAAGTAAGCAAGTGGATGTTTTTGATGCTCTAAATTTATGGCTAAACATTAAAAAAAAAAAAAAGTTGACTATTGAAATTCACCCCTAATTATTTTCATGATCAATACTGTAAAAAAAAAAAAAAACCAGTTCTAATTTAGATTATCTTATCGTTAGTAACTGTCCAGAAGATAGAGTTCCACCTTGATCCAAAAAAATTATTCTTTAGTTTTCTGTTGAAACTTAACCCTTGGGGGCCTATTTTCCCTCCTCTGTCCTTACTGTTTGTTGTCTTGTTTGCTTGTTTTTATAATAGCTTTATAAAAGCTGTTTTGCCTTTTAGACTAATAGTATTACAGGCCAAGCCAGTGGTAAGAGTTTTTCTTTGATTTTCCCACCCGTGTCTCTCCGGGAAGCTGGTTTTCAGCACTTGCACCGATAAAGCCAGTCTGCGGGATTTAATTTGTAGAGAGAGCCCTTACATGCGTGATCACTCAGAGGCTGTCTCAGTGCAGCCATAGGCAATTCTGCGGGTTGTTCATTTTGTAATTGTGCTGCATTTGCGCACCGACTCACATGTTTAAATATGCATTTGCTTTGACATAGTCGCATTACATTTGTTCCCTTCCGAAGGAAATTTAAAATGTTATGTGTTGTATGTTGTATTTGATATTTATGAAACAGATTAGCAGTGTACTTGAGTGAAAGCAAACAAGTGTATTTGTTTCCAGTGTGTTTTAATTTTTACAACTATTTATTGCTTGTTTCCTTCCTCATTTACTAAAATAACCACAGTCATTAAAAAGTATACATTGATGTAGCTTTTTTTTTCTTAAGAAAGGGAAAGTGGGAGGGGACATTTTTAAATGTCTTGGACAGTGGAGCTTTATTTTTAGTCAATTTAAGACTCTTGACACCTGTTTGCTCACCTGATGGTGCCTTGTCTGTCTGTCTGTCTGCCCATGCTGTCCTTCCTGCTCGCCCCGCCTGGACCGGCCTGACGGTACTACACATCCACAGGAGCTAGACGAGGTACTGTGATTTGACTATTTTTATATGTTAGGTGATTGTTGTTTATAAAATACCTGTTTCCCTGCAGCCTCTGGTCACATATATAAAACGGTAACAGAGCTTGTACCTGTTCTAGCGTTTGTTTTGATTATTTTATAATGTGTTTAACAATTTAGTACTTAGAACATGTTTTGTGGATTTTCACACCATGTGAGTTGGTAATTTAGAGAGGGTTAAGAGCATTATTTACTACTCTTGGGAGATGGCTCAGCTTCGGCTGCAGTCAAGGGCCAGCGTTTCCATGCAGGCGACGGCGGACAAGCCTGCCTGGGGGGCTGCTGCCGAGGCTGCCTGGTTGCAGAGAGGAGCCTCGGGCCTGGGGCGAAGAGGGGGCACCTGCCCGCACCTGCGCCTCCAGAGCTGATCGCTGTGGAGCGCCAGCCGGCCCTGCCTGGCAGCACGTGTCCTCGTGTCCCAGCCTGGTGGAGACGTGTGTACCGCTGCGCTTCATCTCAGCAGCTCGACTGAAAGGGCAGAGGACATCTGAGGAGACTGCGGTTGTCTTCTTTGTGTGTCTGTTGTCCTTAGCAGTGAAGGGACAACATTGTTTTTCCTGAGGGGAAAAATTGTTTAAAGGGAAGGTTGGCTTGTGTTAATTTATCAGTTTGTGCAATAAGGCAGGATCAGGATCGGTGCCTTCAACCCCTCCGGGTCCTAGCTAGCAAAATGGTTCCACCTGTAAGAAAACCTAAACTAGTTAGTAGTAGCAATAGGCTAAGCACCACTAACCAGTAAATAAATTACATAGCTGGCATGGTGGTGCATACCTGGCATCCCAGCAGGGGCTGAGGTAGGAGGATCACTGCAAGTGGGAGGCCAGCCTGGTTACCCATGAATTCAAGACCAGCCTCAACTCCATAGCGAGGTCCTGTCACAAACAGTCAGATAACACAGGGTCTGGCCCCCGCACGGGAGTGAAGCCTGAAGGCCTACGAAGGCCGCGTCACAGGAGCTCCTAGACACATGGCCAAGTGGGAGGGTGGCCGAATGCAAAATGTGTGGGTAATGTGATTCCTGCCTCACCTTTAAGAAAAGTAATACCCTGTGTGTGCTTTAAAAAATTCTCAAAAGATACACAAGAAAAAGTAACAGTGAATACTCCTCAAGAAAAGTCTAAGATACTTAGAGAACTTCCTTTCTGTTGCAAACCTTTTCTTAGGGTGAAAACATATTTCCAACCACATGCACTGATTACTTTTGTTGTTAGAAACCCGACCTTAGGCAGCAGCTCCCTGAGCAGTGGCAGTCAGACCTGCTTGGGAACACCTGACCCCATCTAGGAGCCTCGTGCCCGCACCAGGCCCAGGCACCGGGCCTGGACGTGTGAGTTCACATCACTCACGCACAGTGAAGTTGAGCCTCCAGGGTTTGGTGGATATGCATCGATTGTTAAATGCAGAACACAGGCAGCTTTAACACTGATGTGAGCATAGAGTTTACCAAGCATTTTACAGATGTAGAAGTTAGGACCCCTCCCCGCAAGGCAGTATAGGATGAGGGAGGAGGGAACACTGGGACCGGGGGAAGAGGCGAGGCGGGTAGTGGTGGAGAGCGCGCAGAAGTCGGAGTAAGGGCCCAGTGAGGATCAGTGTGGGGCTGTTTCTGGTCTTTCCCACTGCTTCAGATGGAAAGTTCTGGAACCATCTGAACTGCACCGTATAGGCCAGCAGGCTGGTTGCTTTTCTTACATGTACTCTCTGAGAAGGGGGGTCTTCTGCTCTGTGATGAGAGAGCCGGGGACACCCCCTTTGCTGCACACTGGTGGGAATGCCCGTGTGGCGACTTGGCCTGCTTGTCCAGTCTCTTCATGTGGCCGCCCACGGCCACCTCACCCCCTCACACGTGTCACTTGGCCCTTTTTCTCTGTTCTTAGGGATGTTGTCCTGCAGAGTGTAGCTTCCTGAATTAGACGTGTCATGTTAGTTTCTTCGTTCATTCATCCTGCCCATCCACTTACTGTTGATGCACTCGGTTACTGTAGTTGTGCACTTGTTACTGTGACATGCCCAGAGTACCCTGGTAGCTGGGGATGTGGTGGGAACGGCACTGCAGCTGGCATCGCTGGGGCAATGCAGGGCTTTACTGGGGTGCCTCTGAGAGTGGAAAGTACCCATTATTTAGGCCTCCCAGAATCCCTGTCTCATGGCTTCTGCTCCCTGCAGGCCATCCAGGCTGGCAGCCACCCCGTTGCTGTCTCCTGGAGATGCTGAACAGAGTAAGGTGTCCCCTGGCGAGGGGGCGACTCTCTTGTGACAAATGCTCAAGGGTTAGTTCTTAAAATTCAAAATAAAAACTTTTTTTAAAAAAAGAAAAAACAGGGTTTGTTAGGCTCTAAAACTGCACGGCTTGGGGGTGGCCCAGGTGATGTGGTAGGCATCTGGGTCCAACCCACGGATCGTGTTGTGAGACCTCAGAGAGCCCCGTAGTCCGTGCTTATGAAGTGAGGAGCGACCAGCTTCGGAAGGGTTTTCCCAGAGCCTGAAAGGGTCAAGTCCAGCCGGCTTCGGGAGGGTTATCCCTGAGCCTGAAACGAGTAGACATGCATAGGGCACAGGTTACTGTTGACTCGATGTATCGGTGAGACTAGCAACAGTGATGTCAGGGTGCTGAGGTCACGGTGAGTGCTAAGATTCTCAAGTTTTTCATTTGGTATTTTTTTGCATAGTTCAAAGATATTTTGAATAATTTCTGAATCAGAAATGGTAAGCATCTTAAACGACCACCGTTTTTAAAAAGCATAGTGCCAGCCTCCCCTTGGCCGTTGCTTCACTGCTCCAGGAACCTGAGGTGTCCCAAGCCCCTCAATTTAGGGAAGGGGTATGAGCCTTCTATGTGCTGGCTGCTGTGTGTCCTCTGACTTCATCATGCACGTGCCTCACAGAAGCGAGAGTCACTAGGTTGGACTTCTTCAGTGTTCGTTGCGGGATGTCCAGCGTTATCCCCAGTCCAGTGCAGCGCTGTCCGTGGGGAGGAAGCGTTTCTGCCTTTTCTGGTTTCTACAGAGACTCTGATGTTTTCTTAGTCTTACCGCACCCTGACTCAACCTACATGTAAAGCAAGGTTGACGGTCTGTAAGAGCAGGAAAGTCATTTATTGGAAGCAGGCAGATTGGCAAAAATGCCTCTTCCATAGCACACGATCTTGTCCATTCTATCTGGTGCTCTTCAAAGGGACAGAGGTCCACATCTGAGTGAGTCCAGGGCCAGAGCTAATTTAGGGAGACCAGCACCAAAAGCCTTCAGAGCGTGCCGTTCTGAGATTCCGCAGCAGTTTCCTGCATGCCCCACAGGAAGGGACTCCGGGTTAGTAGCTCCTCCCTGCCCCTCCATTTGTGGGGGACTCCACACCATAAATCAAGGACACTGATCTTCAATTTTTAATCCTCCTAAGGCTAGCTTTCAGAACTTTTTCTTATTTAAAAGATACAGAAAGATTTTTTACCTTCAAAAGTATGTTTGTTTAAGAAAAGGTTTAATAACCAATATATTTTTGAGTTGACATTAGGGAAGAAAATGATAAATCTGGCAATTTTTAAAGGTCTGTGTGGAATAGGATGGCAACTTGAAAATTGATATGTATGCTAGATCCTCACCAAATAAGAAAACATGTTTTTAAGTAGGAAAGTGAGGTTTTGGAAGTTGAAAGGGTGATTATTTTGCACTTAAAATGTATTTTTATGTTCATATTTGTTTCCATTTCCGATAGTTGACATTTATTTTCAATTGTTTTCCTTCCCAAAACATGTCATCCTCTTTTTTAATAATACATACTGTGCTACACATTATAAATCGCTACCAATAAGAGAAATGACATTTCTCCTCAGTAGAGCAGCACTTCCAGCATGATGAGCTATGACTGTAGATCCTATCACAAAGGGGACAGATGATCTGCTGCTCAGAGCTCGCAGTGCTGAAGAGGCAGCCGGCCTTTCCCAGCGGCAAAGCCCCAGGCTGAGTGTGGAAAGCTGGCAGCCAGCTGGTCTGCAGAGACCCTAGAGGTCTTCTGGTTTGCAGCCTCCTTAGGGCCAGAGAAGAGTGCTTTCTCCCCAATTTAGATTTATAGCTAATATCAGGGAGCACATTTCTGGTATAAAATAAAGCACTGTTTGCAGGAGCTGAAGCCACTTCAGTTGGCTATTCATAGATGGTTTCTAATTTATTTGTTTTAGATAAAATAATACTAGTCACAGTGTAGGTAAATTTAGATAGAATTGCATCTTTTATATATCTTTGTTTCATGTGTTTTTGTAAATAGCAAAAAGTACAGCTTATTTTGTTCTCGAACTTAGAAATAAAGTCACTGTAAATCAAACAAGTCATTATTCTCCTGCAATATGGCATAATCACAGGGTATGGTGGATTAGATAACAGACTGGCATTGTGGAAATTCTATGATTCATCCAGAGGTTTACCTGGGCACTTTCTAAGTTTTGCTTGGTAGAAATAGCTGGAGTTACAAGTCCAAGTTCTGCTGTAGTACAGCAGCGACTGGGTCCAGCAGGCCCTGCCCTGGCCGCTGGCCACACAGGTCCTCCTCTGCCATGTTGGCGTGCCCGGCAGCATTGGGTGCCTCGTGGCTTTGGGTGAAGAGTGCGGCCTCCAGTTGGCGCAGCAGCCCCCGCCCTCCCCGTCCACCTGCTCTGCAGGTGGCCCTGCTGAAGGCCTGGTTTATTGGCGTTTGCGTGCTCATTTGGGGCCTAGCTACATCCCTGTGCAGTTGGTGGGGAATTAATCAGAGTACTGGGTTTTGTTGTTGTTCTGATATGATGGTTTGTCTTGATTCATTTTCCTAGCAAATTGCAGTTACATTTCACGGGCCTCCCAGAGTAACTGGCAGCTGCAGGGTGGAAGGGGTGTCTGGAATCCGTTGACTCAGGTTTTAAGCTGTCACCTGAGCTTAGTGGCCTTGGGCAAGCTATTTGACTTTCTCTGGGTTTCAGTTTGTGTATTTTTACAGTGGAATAGTATTTCCTAGCTTACCTACTTTTGTGAGGATTAAAATAGTAAAAATAATTTAAAATTCTTGTTAGTAGGGTCTTACTTAAAAACAAAAGGTAGAGAGTGAGAGGTCCCACCTCAGAGTGCAGGCTGCAAGTGGTGCAGGTTTTGGCAACTTGTCAACTAAAGCAGAGGCGACCCTGGGCCTGAGTGGCCCACTGGCCTCGGTAGTGGACCCTGATGGCCTTAATCCTAGCTCCTGGGTGCTCAGGGCAGTGGTCGTGTCTGAGGTGCCCCCCCTGAGTGCCCCGGGCACCCAAGATGCTGAGAGCAGATGGAGGTATGGCGGGGCACGGCGGGCGGAGGAGGGTTTGGGTGGGCATCACCTTGCCCTTAGGCGTTTTCCTAGGAACCCTGTGTCCAGGGTTTAGGGCTGATTGCTTGAAGAGTTTTTGAAATCTAAATTTTCCCTTATGTGGTATTTTTCCCCCTTCATCTGTGGGTTTTAAAACTTTGCCTGTTCCTTTATTATTTATTATTTACCAAATTAATTTAAAAATGTATGTAATTGCAGGGAAGAAGAAAAACAATTAAAATTCCTCCCCCAGTTTTATAGAACATTTACAAAGTATTATCTATAAGGGACTTTTTTCCATAGACTGTTTACTATTATATTGTGATTATCATTTGGGTCTCTGGAAACTATCACTTAAAATTTTTGAGCTCTGCCACCAGGCTTGGTGACTTACTCCTGAACTCTAGCACTTGGAGGCTGAGACAGGAGGATCTCAAGTTCAAGGGCAGCCTGGGCAACTTAGAAAGTTGGCAAGACCCTGTCTCAAAGCTCAAATATAACAAAGACAAGGGCTGGGGTTGTAGATCCATGCTAAGGCCCTAGGTTGAATTTCCAGTCCTGAAAAAGGAAAGAAAGGAAAAGGAAAAAAAGAAAAAAAACACTCTGCGTTCCTGCTGGGCATCTCAAGGTGTTGTCGGCTCGTTCATTGCCTCCCGGCGGGGAAAAGAAAGTTAGTAAGCCTGTGGTTTACCGCCTGTTCTGAACTCTTGCTAAGGCACGGGATTTCAAAAGCAAGAGCTTGAGGATCGTGTCAAGTAAGGAAAATATTGCCAGTGGCGTGGGCTACCATGGGATTGTGAGGCTGGCCCTCGCCTGGGAAGGGACTTTGCCCCTGGTGCAGGCGGCTCTTTCACGGGTTAACTCGGAGTTACGATGACGGGCGAGGTAGTGATCGGCATTATTTCTAACACTAGCAAGTGCAGGCGAATAAACCTGCTACTGTCAGACAGTTTGCATGAGGCCCATGGGTAGCCCGTGCTGTTCACCTGTGTCTCATCGCCTCATCTGCTGGGGGCCACGTCTGCTGTCGCAGTGCTGGTCCCACAAGCTCTTTCCTTTGAGCATCTTTTGTTGACTTTTTTTTTTTTGTTTTTTGGTACTGGGGATCGAACTCAGGACTGCCGCTGAGCTGAACCCCCGGCCCTTTCTGTTGACTTTTTCATTCCATCTCTAGGCAGATGCAGTCAGATTCAGGTTCGCAAGCACATCCAAGGAAGTTAAGGATTGGTGCATGGAGAGATAGCAAACCGGTTCGGAGCCCAGTGGTGTGACCCTTGCGTTCTGTATACCAGTTAAAAGGGCGTAAGAGGATCTTTTTCTACCCAGTCCGAGTAACTCTTGCAATGTTCCTTTGTCTTCCTGTAGCTTGCCGATGACCGTATGGCACTGGTGTCGGGCATTAGTTTAGACCCAGAAGCAGCTATTGGCGTGACAAAACGGGCCCCTCCCAAGTGGGTGGAGGGAGTGGATGAAGTAAGTTGAATGTTTGTTTCACAATTTTGTTTTTTGTGTAATAATGCCAACATATTTTAATGCAATATAAGCTCATTTGTCTAGAGGGTACAGCACTAGAAATACCTAACCTTTGGGTTTACACATTTTATATAAGAAAGATTTCATGTATGTTAATGATTTTGGCAGTAGTTTTAACATTGGTAGTACCTACCTAAATCATAGAAATTAAGTTGTGCAACAAAGAACAGTAGATTTTTACACATTTTTCTGATAATTTAAATTAAAATTTGCTTGTAAATCAAATTAGTAAGCAGCAGGTTCCCTGCAGACCCAGCTCTGTGTTCTGAGTGTAGCTAACTGTCTGTGAGGCAGGCAGATACCTGCCAAAGCATCAGCACAGTTCTGGTGACTTCACTTGTGTAGATACAGTATGATGTTGGCCGGATTAAGCAGAAGATGAGAGAATTGGCCAGCCTTCATGACAAGCATTTAAACAGACCCACCCTGGACGACAGCAGCGAGGAGGAGCATGCCATTGAGATAACCACCCAGGAGATCACACAGGTGAGGACGCAAGCGGTCCTGGGCCCCCGGAGCCCACCAGTGCTGTCATTCTGAAGCCGCTGGCCCACAGCTTCCTAGTTTCCCTTCCCCGCCGGAAGTTCTCAGAGGAGCTTCTGGGTGCCTCGAGGTCCACCCAGTGTGCCAGCCTATGCGTGTGGTGTCTTGGGAAGGAGGGGCCTGTTTTTTAATAGTTGGTTTGTTGGTAGATGCTACTGTGGGTTGATTAAGGAAAAATTAAACTCAAAATACTGCTGAATTCAATCATTTGATTTAAAAACATAACTTCTAGTGAATAAAAAAAGTTATACTAAAATACAGTTGTCATAATTGGAAAGAAAGTGTCCTGTTGGCTGGTGGTGTGACTGGTGTCCCAGCTTTTAGTGTTTTATGTTCTTATTTGTATAAATCAGGTAGCGGGTGGACTAGCGGGATGTGGCAGGCAGGGGACACAGCAGGCTGTGCACAAACAGGGGCCAAAGCGCAGCGGATCGCCATGTGTGGGGACGGAAGGCTCGGACAACTTTTATTTGCTCACTTTTCTCTATGGGAGCTGGACAAACAGGCCACCACCACTTCCTGCTGGGTGGAGAGGCCCTGGTGGCTTCCTCACCGCAGCCGGCGCTGAGCGCTCCTGGCCTCGCAGCTGTTCCACAGGTGTCAGCGTGCGGTGCAGGCCCTGCCCAGCAGAGCCCGGAGAGCCTGCTCCGAGCAGGAGGAGCGACTGCTGCGGAACGTGGTGGCTTCCTTGGCGCAGACTCTGCAGGAGCTGTCCACCGGCTTCCGGCGCGCGCAGTCCGGCTACCTCAAACGTGAGTGCTGGCCGGTCTCATCGGAGGGCTTTCTGAGTGGGGAAGAACTGCTTTCGAGGGGTTTCTGGTGTGGTTTGCTTTGCTGCTTTTCTGTGGCTCGCCATGGAGTCCTGTACCTCTCCTCCTCAGCGTCTGAGCATGTTCACACCTTTATAGCAAAGGAAGTGCCTCCCCTCGAGGAGGCACAGCCCTGGGCGCCATAGAATAGTCAGCTCTAAGCAAGAGTTGGCAAAGCAGCTGAGCACATTTTAAGAACAACCTCCAACTTAGGTGTGGAGGTTGAGGAACTGCTCATAAATAGGTAAAAACAGTTACGGCAGCTTTAAAGCCACATACTAGTACAGTAACAAAGCCTTTCATGAGAACATTTCCCGAGAACAGTTCACGACCACCCCTGCCCTTGCCACCTGCGCACTGAGCCCGCCTTCCTTCCCGGTGGTTGGAAGCAGTGACCCGCGCCTCTTCCTTGCCCTGTATTCAGGGGTTTGCTTCATTGCATTGTAATCAATGAAGTCGCCTAATCTATCCCCCCATCTTCCTGATTCTGACAAGGGACGCATTTGTATTTTAATTTTATTTCTTCTGGAATTTGATTAGGCTCATGTGGAGCTTTTACTAGAGATGCTACCAGAGAGAAACACTGATGTTGTCATTATTCATGTTTTGTGACAGCAGTAAATACTTGTTTTCGCTTAAGAGATTCTCAAATGATCATGTAATTTTTGTGTTGGCATCGAGTGACTTGTGCCAATTGGAGTGTGGCTTTGTCTCGAATAACCCCAACTCCTGCGTGCGTTGTGTGTGTCAGTGCTATCCCCCCCACCCGCGCCCCCTGGAGACGGGCTTCTGTAAAGCTCTAAGGAGGTCGCCACTTTGACTCTTGAGCTTCACTCTAGATGTTCCCCTTTCCATGGTGGAGCGGTAACCAGGATGGTTTACGTAGTCCAGTAAAGTGGATTCCTATCTGTGATAGGCATGAAGAATCGAGAGGAAAGATCGCAGCATTTTTTTGACACATCAGTACCACTAATGGATGATGGAGACGGTAATGCTCTGTACGATCGGGTACGTGAAGGGGCTAAGAAATGGCTGCTGTACATTTGCACCCCGTTCTGTGTCTCTAACCCCTGTGCAGTGCAAATGGAGCAGCACTGTTGGCCTTGAGTGCCCATCAAGTGATCTTTGTAGCAGGCAGAAGAACAGCCGCACTGTTTCTTCCTTTCCAAAGCCACAGGAGACCTTGTGACCTGCTTTCCAGAGCCTTCGGGAAAGCAGCATTTCCCGCTTTCTCGGGAAGAGCACAGAGAGACGCGAGGCCTCCCAGAGTCCTTGCATGGCTGCACGCTGAGCTTCCCTGGTGTCCCTTGCCGTGGCCACAGTGCCAGAGAACCCAGTGCTCTGGGGAATTTGCCTATTTGTTGTCATGTGTCTTATATTTTTTCGTAAGTTCGTTTTCTTTGAATTATATCTGAAGTGACACAGCATAGGTTTCCTGAAGGGGACCTGTGCATTGCTGTTTCGCTAGGGTCTCACGGATGACCAGCTGGTGTTGGTGGAACAGAATACACTGATGGTGGAGGAGAGGGAGCGAGAGATCCGGCAGATTGTACAGTCCATCTCCGACCTGAATGACATCTTTAGGGACTTAGGAGCCATGATCGTAGAGCAGGTATGTGGGTTATCCATCCCAGCTGTTGGAGCTGCATCTTCTCAGAATCCTTGGATTCTGTATTTGTCAGGAAAACATTTGAACCCGTGTTTGTGTGTGTGTGTGTGTGTGTGTGTACATGTGTGCTCATATATATGTGTGTATGTGTGTATTTATATTACAAGTGATATAGGCTACTGTCGCTCTCTATAAAAATATTAATAAACTCAGAAAGAAATAGAACTTCTAATATTGTGCCCCTGCCCCAAGACTCATGTGAGCACCATAGTGCAGACCCCCGCTTGATTCTGCCCAAGCACTGGTTCTAGCAATAGATAAGATTTCCTTTCTAATTCTGGCAGGTTATTGTGTAATGGCCATTGGAACCACTAGCTTTCAAGTAGAATTAAATTGTTGTTCACCGTTAAAATCTGATTAGGGCATTTTATTATCTTGCCAGCAGGGATTTGGGTCCTGATCCCCCAGAAACCAACTGCAGAATGGAGTGTTCAGGCCACGCAAGATCCAGTTACCCTAATTACTCCCGCGTTGCCCTGTGAACCGCTGTCTCTCCTGATCCAGCGTGTTTCCAACGCGAGTCCCACCACATGCAGCTCAGTGGCCCCTTCTTCATGTAAGAGCAAGAGGTCAAGCGGTTCTAACAAATTCTCCTGGAGGCCCAGTTTTTAATTTTGGATGGTGAATGGGCGCTTTCCACGCTTTGCTGTGACCCAGAGAACCACCCTCAGGCTCACAGGCGCGACAGTTGGTTTGCAGGTCTGATTACCTTGGGGTTGAGCTTAGCTGGCACGCTCTGCTGACTTGACTCCAAAATGTAAGCAGCAAGTGGACATCAAAGCTGGCCTTTTGCTGGCACAGCCTATGTCCACCGAACCACCCAGTGAGTCTGACACAGTGCATCCTACCATAGTTAAACCTGAAAAAGGAGCCTCAATTTGTCCCGTATCTCTCATGAGCTGGATTTTATTGCAACTAATCTAGCACTCTGCCACCAAGTACCTCACCCTGCTCGGGGCGCATCCCAGAGTTCCCAGCGCATACCTTTATGGCACTTTAGGTAAGACCCACCCTGCGGCAGGGGACGTCTGTAACTTGCACGTCTCATATTTGAAGTTCAGTTTTCCTCGCTGCAGTTGTTGGTCACCTGTAACTGTCATTTATTCCTCAGGGCACGGTCCTTGATAGAATTGACTATAACGTTGAACAGTCCTGTATCAAAACCGAAGATGGCTTGAAACAGCTTCACAAGGTAACAACATCTTTCCCTGGTGCAGAATTTTAGGAACTATTATCAGATCTCAAGAATTCGTAAGAGGATTCTCCTCTGGCATAACTCTGAAGCGTTCATGTTTACGGTTGGCTATCAGTGCGGTCATGTAAAACATACCACACTGTTTCGTTGGAAGCTGACTGTGTGGGTCGTTGTGTTTTTACCGTAGTTTACCTTTGCATGGGTCCTTTGCCCTGGGAGCAGGTGTTGCCGAAGGCCCCATTCCATGACAGTAAATCCTAGAAGGCCTGGAGTTTTCCCTTCTCATCCTTTCTGAGACTGCTTGTTTGGGGCCCTCAGCTGACTGGGTATCTGTTGAAGTCTGTGTTGAGAAGTCTGCCTGCTTGCTGCCGCTGATTCAGACTGGGCTTGGTGCAATGCACTTCTGATGAATTGCTGGCAGAGAGTCATTCTGGAGACGTAAAAATCTAATGTTCCCTTTAATTACCACCGCATATTTGCATGTTACCTAAGAAAAGAGAAGTTTGTGGAAATGAAGTCGGAGGGCTCTCATTCTTCGCTAACGAGGTGCCTATTTCAGGACGTTTTCATATTACTTGTTAATTTCTTTCTCTTTAAAGAAAAACAGTAGAAAGCCTCTTAGAAGTCTCGTCATCAGTTATGAGAAGCAGGCAGGAGCTGCTGCATTCTAGTGTATAATTGGGCACATATTTTGTTTAAAAGGAACATAATAATATTCCACAGATAAAATAAATTCTGTTTATTTCCTTGTATCATTGAGGCTCAGTGGTATTTCTAGCCAAACAGTGAACACCTTTCCAATTCACTGACATACGATGCTATTGTTTTTCTGAAGCCAGTCACTTCTTACAGCAGAGATTGCCCTGACAGTGGTGTCTACTCTTCAGAGTCTAGCCAGGAACCCTGGCCTGTCTTTGGGGTGCTGCTGCCTGTGGAGCAGCACATAGTAGGGAGAAGTCACCTTAGATAGGCAGAGGCTTGTTACGCATGTAGATGAATGCGGTTAGGAGCTCTGTATATTAGAAGTGAAAACCAACTTCAGTTTCTCATTCTGTAATACCCAGGTTTTGATACACTGCTGAATTATGCATGGGTTTTGAAGCTTCTTAAATAAAAACTAGTGAAACGTGTTTTCTATTATAACACAGACAGAGGGGAAAGCCTTTTCTGTAAAGTGAACAAATCTAGTGGGAAGTAGAAATTTTGTTTTAAGTTGTAGTTTATAAATCATCATGAGAGGTTGCCAAGCATGTTACCAGTGTGGCTTCCCTGGTGCCGGGCTGTTTATCAGGAGGAAGGTGTGCTCCATCTCTTGGCCCCACGCTGGCGGTGGCAGCAGTGCAGCTGGCCTTCCTGGCATCGGCTTCTCTGAGGATGCCTGAGCCTTGGGAGCTGCCTCCCTAGCTGTACTCTTGAGGTTGTCCCCTCCTGCCGTCTCCTCTCAGAGCAGGGGCTCCTCTGGGCAGGCCATGGACCCACCGAGAGAGCTCAGTCTCCGATAGGCGGGCGGGGTGCCCACGGAGGTGAGATGGAAGCAACTGACGTCCTTACTAGGTCTCCTCCTGCACCACATGCCTTGCCAGGGTTTGCAAAGGGTGGAGTGTGCCCCGCCCCGGGCCTTCGACCCCCTCACAGCTCTCCTGCTCAGGGGTGTATGCCTTTCCAGCCCAGGGCGTGTTGGCACTTCTGCATCCAGACCTGGTGGAGCAGCCGACACTAGCGGTGTGTGTTATTTAGAGAAGAGGACAGGGGCCTCGCCCCAGGCTGAGCTTCAGGGACACCACGCTGTCTTTGTGCGCTCTGGGAGGACGCCCCTGGGCTGGTCTGTAGCAGATCCGTGGGGTACACCGACTCATTTCTCTTTTGAAGGGTGGGCTTTTTGTTTCTGATCAGGTTCAGAGAGGTAGCATGTAGGCTTCCTGGGGCCAGAGGCTCCATATTCCTGGTGATGCTAAATGCAGCACCTGCCTCTTTGCTGGGCAGGGCTGGCGCCTTTCTGTGTGCAGGGCTCTGCCTCATAGCCAGGGAGGTGGGAGCAGAGAGCAGCAGTTCCTCGTAGACCAAGGCGCGTGATCCACAGTACCTCTGCAGCCCGTGGCCTAGCAGTGGGTTCTGAACTGGTGTCTCCGAGTTCAGGGAGATAAGCAGCGCCAGGGCCCGGAGCCCTTGCCGCTGAGTCCACACTGAGGGAGGGTTGCTGCTGATGTGGCCTGGTCCCACCCGATACACCAGTGACTGCAGAACAAGCAGAGCCTGACGCAGGGAAACAGGGAGACCGGGTTGGGATTCTGGGGAAATGACCGCCTTTTCTCCTCCTCTTTCTGTAGGCAGAGCAGTACCAAAAGAAGAATCGGAAGATGCTTGTGATTTTAATATTATTTGTCATCATCGTTGTCCTCATTGTTGTCCTCGTTGGCGTGAAGTCTCACTAGTGGCCTTGGGCTCGCTGTGCCACGTCGTGGACTTCCCGGTGCGGGGCTCAGCTCGCACCCCTGCAGCTGCGCACCGAGGCGCAGCCCGCGCTCTCTGGGCCGTGGCAGCGAAGCTTTCCGTAGATTCCTCTCCACTGTCTGCTCCGGCAGGGGAAGGGCCTTCGTTTTGTTTTCCATCGTGGTCAAGTCTTAAGGACCTTTGGTGCTGTTGCAGGACGGAGATTGGTTCTGGGATCAGCTATGCTGTCTGTATTTTTCAGAGTGAAAACGAGCCGAAGTTCACAGGCCCTGCGGAGGCCACTCGATGTTAGCCGTGCGTTTGCTCTTCTCTCAGCAGTTATGTCTGAGCAGCTTCTTAAAATAATTTTTGGAAAACATTTTTTAAACCATTTGGTTTTGAAGCAATTTGGTACCAAAAATTTATGAGTAGAGGCAAAAATGCCTCTTCATTTTTCTCTATATATTTTCCAGTTGAAAACAAACTAAGTCCTTTCAGAATTTATAATCCATTCCCCATTAACTTAATTTAGCTTTTCCATCACTGTTAATGATCAGAGTAACAAAGTGTGAAAAATAAGAAACCATCATTGATGTTAATTAACACATATAGATGGGCCAGTTAAAACAGCTTCATAAGTTTAAATTGATTGTAAATAGAATATTCTTCATTTAAAATTTTTGCACCGCATTTTCTACTGTATACCAAAAGGGGTTACCAAGCAAAACCATCTAAATTTAAAAGTTGGCGATTTGAACAAACCTCACATTAAGAGGAAGCTCAACAGTGTCACGAAAGTCTCCAGGCTGAGCAGGCGTGTCTCAGGGTGTCCGCAGCCACGGCTTCTCAGGCCGCTGCTTACACACTAACCACGTCATGACCTGTTCAAACTGGACTCCATTCAATGAACTGTGAACTTCCACAGGGGCCATTTAACATGGGTCACCCCGTTTAGGATTAGCGGATCTCCAATTATTAACCAAACATCACTCCATTTCAAAGTCAAATATTCCACCTGTGACTTGATTTATTGCCTCTTCCGTCCCCACCTCACAGTGCCCGGGAGGCGGGCATTCTGCTGAGGGTTGCGACAATCTGGACTGGAAAGTCCTCTGCTTACACAGCACGGATCGAATTGCCAAAGCAGGACTCTGCCGTTTGCCTCCCTGTAACAGTCTTGCGGGGCTTGAGTGTAATCTTGGGGCTGCAGCGTGGGAAGTGATGGTAGCTTTGAAAACCGAAGGTGCTCATGTTTCATTTGCTCTGTTTGAATTGATTCCAGTATAACTTTGGTGGCTTTGGTGTAATTTTTGATGGCTTTTTCATTGTTTCTGCTTCTCTTAAAAAATTTAAGAAGAGCATGACCCCATTAAGTGTGTTACATTTTATTTAGGCCAGTCACATAAATGGCCTCTTCAAGAACTGCTTTTGAAGTGGCTTCCAGAACTTTCACTCAAGTCCTCTAAACAGACTGAGTCTTAACATCAAGCCCCTGGCCAGGTCTCCCAGCCTGTGTTGGCCTCCGGGCAGCCTCCTTCCAATGAGAACCTGGGCTTTGCCTGGCAGTCTTGGTGGACAGTGGTCCGGGCAGGAGAGCTGATCGCCTGAGAAGGCCAGGACCTGCATGTCCGACTGGGCTGATCTTAGCCTAAGGGCGTGTATTCACTTAGCCCAGCTCTCCCTGGAGTGGCACTGTTCAGTTAGGGGACTTGTCTGAAAACAGTCCATGCAGACCATGCTGGATAATTGGTAAAAGCTTTTGAAAATGCCCTTGAAGGACACTGGCCCTTTAAGAAAGGACCACTGCTTATTTATATTTATTTCCCCAAATAGGGTAATTTGGGCTGCCCCCCCCCAACCCATGGGGTAGCACATTGGAGCTGATCAGAGACTGGTTTGAGGGTCTTGTGTGAGGATGGGGAACCCCCCTCTTCAGTCTGGAGCAGGTACAGTGCCAGCCAGGCCCGGCTAGGTGTCCGCTGCAGTGACTGTGCCCAGGATGGGAGCCGTGCAGGCCAGCCTGGAGCTGGCCCTGGAGCCCATGCCTGACTTGTTTGGATCCTTAAATCACTGTATTTTTCTTCTGAGCCTGTATTTGGGGGAAGATCAGGAGCATGTGAGAAAGTACAGGAAAGTTGATAATCATGTCCTGGTACCTCAGGGTAATTCTTTCCTCTGAAAGAGGTGGATCCTTGGCTGCCCAGAGTCATGCCCTTAGTCCCTGCTGGCCGAGAAGGTGACAATCATCCAGGCTGGACTCTCCGCTGGCCTGGGATGCACCCTCCCCTCCAGGAAGAGGCCCTGCCTGGGTGGGCTCACTCTGGGCACCTGGGCCTGCCCAGCCCCGTCCCTTTCCAAGTGTCTTGGCTGGCTCCTGTTGGGTGGAGCCCGGAGGAAAAGCAAGAATGTGAATGTCCGTTTTGCAAAGCTCCTGATCTTTCCCCGAGATTGTAACTGCAAACTGCTGTCTGTCATTCTGTTCTGGGGAGGGGAAGCTGGCTAGGCCATGTCCTGTGAAGCTGTGTGTGTCTTTAATTTAACCGCTTTCTCCACTAATTGAGAGAGCATTATTTATTTGTTTTGACACAAGTGCTTGCAGTGTTTTATCCTAGCTAATGGCTTCTTAAAGGTAATAAAACCCTTCAACCTAATTGGTCAGATAAGACTTTTTTCTTGTATGCTTAAATAAAGCAATTAGTGAAGCGCTCTACCCAAAATGACTTTTTTTTGTCCTTTTCTAAAAATTAATTTACTGTTACTGGAAACTTTTTGTACAATAAAGCAATCATGCAGATTAAAGAACACCCTGCAATCCTAGTATTAATTTTAACAGTGGGTTCATGTATTCTTCAAACACGTTTGTGTGAGGAGAGGGCCTGACCAAGTCTGTGCTCTTTGTGGCCAAGAGGCCCATGTCCCAACGTCGGCCAGTCCTTTTGTCTGTCCAGTGCGTGCTTTCAGTGGGTCCCATCTACTCGCTATCCAAATACAAATAGAGAAACTGCCTGAAAGGCACAGAATAATCATTTTTCTTTTGAAAACACATGCTCTCTACACGCCAAGAACACGCGGGAATCTTCAAGCAGAACCTTAGCGTGGCCGAGGTAGTTCCCGCACACGCACCGCAGCCCCCAGCTTCCCAGTGACTTTGAACCCTATTTTGCCTCACGGAAAGCTTCCGGGGCTGTGTTTGTCAGTCGAGCCCAAAGCCAGGACTGTTTCCAGGATCCCTGAGGGCTTGGGGTGGTCTTTGTCGGGAAGTATTGATCTCTGCACACATGCACACCTGTGGGGGGAGGTGTGGCCACTGAGTCACAAGGGCTGTGTGTGTGTGTTTGGTTAAACATCGGCCTCTGTGTGGGAGTCACCATTCCAGCAGTGTCGTTGGCACCCTGGGTGTTTAGCCCTGAGCTGCTGCCACTGCTCACAGCAGTTACCTTCACAGCCTGTCGACAAACCACGCAGAACACACAAGTTCTTCCTGCCCTGCCCTCACCCTGTTCTTTGGCTGGAAGTTCCATCCCCCTCACTGCCCATCTCCAGGGATAGGTGGACCTCTGTCAGAGGCCTCCAGAACCCTCTGGTAATAGCGTTAAACAAGTCACCCATCCCGATAGACTGCAGGAAGGGGAAAACACTCCTGGACACGCAGGTTCTTGAGCGGAAACCTCTTTGTTACATTCCAGTGGAGACTCCGGTTTTGAAATGGTGCCACAAGAGTGTGCAGAAAAATCCAGAAGATTGGTGAGCAGCGAACTCTGAAGATGGAGGGTGGGCCCAGAGGTGGTGGCCATTGTGTCCTCTGAACATTTTCCTTAATGCTGGGAAACAGGCTAGGAGTAGATTTTCTTCACTCAATGTAGCAAATACTCTTAAGGAGGCAGAGCATAACCCACGCAGCAGCCTTGTCTAACTGTCATTGTGCGTCCAAAGATGACAACAGGTCACTTCAGGGGCTGCCTGGTGGCCATATAGGGGGCCCTGTGCCAGTCAAATCGTGAGAACCGTAAGGCGAGAACTTCTTGTAGAAGGAGATGATGGGTAGTTGGGTTTTAGGGAAGACAGGACAGCACTAGAATTCCTGCTTCTCAGTGGTGTTGATTCAGTGATGAGAAAGGGTAAGTGTCCTTTCTTCTAGGGTGTAGGGAGCCAGACCTGACTCCTGTGATGTGAGCTGCACTGTGGAGATCAGCCTTTGCATGCATGCCTTGAATTGTGTGTGCTGGTCCCTGACATCTCCTGGCTTCCTCCGTGCTTGACCGTCTTGGGTGCCACCTTTCACCTTGTACCCGATGTTTGTGCTCAGCTGTGGTTTGAAACTGGGGGAGCAGCCCCTCTGCACAAGCTAACATGGGCCTGGGGTAGCAGGCAGGGACTCCAAATCCATGGGAAAGTGTTTCCAGTGTAGGATTCAAGAGTTAGACAGGACGCCAGCTGTATGTGTCTCATCTCCAAATGCATGTACCCTCAGACGGAGGTCTTCGTACCAGTGTAAAGCTGGGTTTTCTCACTCTTACAAAGAGACATTCTGCAGAGCCACATGGCAGAGACTTGCACATAATTATCTGGTCAGTTGAGGCAAAAGAAAATAATCATTTGTCCAATTGTCCAAATTAGCTCTCTGGACTGTCCTGAATGCTCGGGATAATTGTGTGGTTTTCCACTTTAGCTCCATAATCTGGCTGAAATGGACCATTTAGACGAAGCTCTATTCAACACAATGCACATTTCAATTGGGCTCAGCTAAAATAGACGACTGGGTTTAGCATTTTCTGTTTGTCAACTGTAATTCTATAATTGCTTTTAGCTAATCATCCTAATTCCACCATTAGTAATCACTGGGGTTTTTTTTTGTTTTTGTTTTGTTTTTTTCATTTTATAGATGTTGTAATGGAGGCAAAGGGGCTCTGGTTTGCACCACTGGTCTCTTCTCAGACTAAGTGCTGAGGGAATCGAATGTTGTTTTTAACTTGTTCTGACCCAGGGCAGCACAACAAGGGGACAGAGGACATCTCTCCCCACTCCAACCTCACCATTTCCCTGATGGCAAAGCTGAGACCTGCCCGCGCCAGGGCTCGCCAAGGTCACCCACCGAGGGCTACTCAGGGCCAAAACTAGAATTGTGAGCCTCCCGATTTCCAGACCAGCACTATTTCTGCTTATGCCATTTTAATTGTTCATTTCTTTCCATAAAATTAAATGACCTTCCTCAAGAAAGATTTAATGGTCAAGATGTGATTTGGTAAAAAGCTTCCTCAAGGATGTTTTTTTCTTATTACAAAGATGAGACCAGGCTGCAGCTCCGAGAGATTTGCAGACAGTGGTGTGTCATTATCCCCAGCTCAGTTTTTGTGTAATTGGTGTGAAGAGATTGCTGCTGATGAATCAGCCTGCTGCTGAACAGAAAATGATGGTTCTTTGTGACGTGACTTGATGTACGTACATGTGGGTTTGTGGTTGTTTATAAAAGGTATATGTGTGCATAAAACACTTACTGAGATGGATAATGTCATTTTAAAGTTGTAAATAATAAAAAATAGTCTTGAGCAAAACTGATTTTACAATTGCCTGAGAATGCAGTACTTCATTTCAACACTATGCAATGGCTAGAAATTGATTTTTTTAAATCCAATTAAGCCTCAAGGTTGGTTATCCATTTAAAAGGTCGGATGAGTTAAACAATGACAGTACCTTTGGTTCACGCTAATAATTAGATCTACACGGACCCTCAGCACTTGCATTGTGCTCGGTGGACGCGTACCTCTTGTCTGCACAGCCCGGCCCCACCCAAGTCCCCAACTCTGGGCACTGGCACTGTCCTCCCGGCACTGGCACTCCGTTCCCTTAGGTTTCCAGCATCTACTCCGGAGTGGGTGGGCCGCAGCACATAGCTACCCCTCCCCTTTCTGCAACCCCAAGAACCAGGCGACGTGGAAAGTAGCCTCTCATTTAAATGAAAGATACAGGTGCACCTGGCTGAATGTACTGCCAAGTTTGTAATACAACAAAGAAATCCCATTTTTAAAATAGTAGTATAGTGCCTGTTCACTATGCATTCCTCAAGTGCTAAACAAAAGACTGAAAATGTCTTTTCATGGTTCTCATCTGTAATATTTAAGAATTACTGCATTTATGAGGATGTTGGGAAAACAGCAACCTGATTGGAATGCTGGTTACTCTGCTTGGGCTATTGTGTCACTCAAGTTTTATAAATCACTGAGAACAGATAAGTGATCTTATTTCGATTCTAGCATTCTAACCTGCCTTGTAATTCGTATAAGTAAGGTGGGTGCATCTGAGTACTTTGTGTCCATAGCTATGAACCAGCTTGAAATACAGAACCTTCCAGATCCAGTGAGAGAAAAAAAAAAAATTGAATTTCCTTTCATTGCCCCGGTGGGGGAGAGGTTAATAAATTTTGGTTAGTTTTTGCCTCCCCCACCGTTTCTTCACACTGTTTAGCTGCCAAAATCCTCAGCAACAGATTTATGATCTTTTTAGAAAGATCTATATTCAGATCCCACAGATAGATGTGTAATAAGCACAAGGATGTTTCTGAGGAAAATGTGACGCAGGTTGAACAGTGAATCATTTTCAATACACTGGAGAAACGTACTGTGAGCAGGACCCTATAAGTGAATGTTTTCCACAGAAAAGACTTTCTAATCAAAATAAGCATCTGCTTCCTCATTTCGCTCCTCTGCCGATCTCTGCTTGCACAGGCTGGATTTACTTAAAGGAATGTGGGACCACGTTTGATCAGTTAATTATTTTTCCTCTCCTCCTTGTCGCTTTCACGTCCCAAGGCACCAGGTCTTCAATATAGCCCTGAAAACTTTTGCTACCAGAAAAATAATTCTACTGGTGTTCAGAAGTAAATAGGAATTTAGCTCCCGAGACATGAGGGTTATTGCTGTCTCGCACTGTGCCCTTCCTCAGAGAATAATTTAGGCTGCTGGGGCAGCAGGGGACCCCAAGAGCAACTAGTTCAGCCCCTCATTTTATCGAGAAGCCCTAAAAAGCAGTATCTGAAGGGGCACTTTCTCTGTTAATAGATGGTTCAGCTAGTAGGCTTTTATGAACACATTCCCCCTCGTCCCACTGATAGGTGAAAGCAGAGGTCCAGTGCTCGCAGACCAGGTTCCAGAATGTACGTCCCAACTACAGTGCAGGGAGTGCGTCCAGGTGCTACCTTTTGGGTCAAATCCGTGAAAATGTGTAGTCTGAGTCTTCTCACAGAGATATGAAGGTAAACTAAAAGCTAAGAAGGATGACCACGTGGGGGGCCAGAAAGGCTGCTGGAGGGTCAGCAGAAAAAGGGATTTAAAGGACCATAAGGGGAGGAGACTCCTTTGAAAATGGCTGGTTTTGATTTTTGAGCCATGTGTTTACGGATTCAAAACAGAAGATGTTAAAGAAAACAACTCATCACACTGAATAGAAACAAATATAAAACTAGATGTACATCTCATGGTTGAACCACAAATAATGCAATAAATTTTTAACGTATTAGTGGGAAACCCTCCCGGAACAGGTTTGTTGACAGGAGTAGAGACCGGCTGTGAGTGTTACAGGAAGAAGGAACGGACACCTTTGGGAGGCTGGGTTAGGAGCAGGGAGGGGGAGGTCAGGTTGACTGATAAGAACGGTCAGAGAGCCACACAGGCCAGCAAAATGGGGCTCTTACTGGCTTGAATGGGGACAGCTGGAGCGGTGGAAGCCAAGCCCGTGTAGACGTCCCCAGGGCGGGGCCTGCTTCATGGGCACAATCGCAGGGCCCTCTCTTTGGTTTAATATCCTGCTA